TATATATATGTAATGTGTACTTTAGGAATGACGACATAAATCTTAACATTGACATCTTAATATCTTAACAGCCTGCGACTCTGGCAGATGTTGTTACATAAAAAGTAGAGCTATGAAGTAGAGCTGGATAGTGTCGCAGCTGCTTTGTTAACTATCAAGTAGCAATTACAACGATTTTTGAATAATCATAATATTTAAAATACGCTATCCGAATTGGCGAACAGGCTGCAAACAGTGGCGATAGCAAGTCACAAAAGAAATAGTGAAACAAGTTATATCTTCATTGCTATTAAAGTGGACACAATTTTCGATATCTAACACTGAGGTAAGCAATTATTATCCACCTGTTTATTATCAATTTATCAAGGATTTTTTAATAATTCGAGAAATAAGTGCTTAAAAAATAATCTTAAATATATTAAGACTATATCTATTTCTTTTTAATATTAAACATATATCTTCCTAATATTAAACAATATTGTTCATTTATTTATTATTAGTTTATCATGGATTTGTAAGAGATAATTACGTGGAAGAAATGTTGAAGTGTTAAGTCTGTCTTTATACCTTGTATGTATTGTTAATAATGAAAAATCTTATTTTAACATTTCTTAACCAAATTCAAAAAAGTGTATGAGGTATTATAAATTCTAGTGGAGCGTTATGAAATTAATTACAAAATCTTTATCCGCCGTTACTGATATGTCTACGTTTAAAACAATTAGCTAATCAGCACATTTTCTCTATTCTTTGGTAAGATTATTCTTTTTTTATTTTAAATATAAATTTTTTTTTAAATATAAATTTATTTATTTTAAATATATAAAAATGACAAGTTATATTTATCATATTTATTTGCAGTTTCAATTCGAATTTGTTGAGTGATTGCAATTCGACTATAGATCGAGAATCATCCTGCCTTCCAAACTTGAACGTTCTCATGGAGAATGGAATATTGCAGCCGATTGTGTCGGTGCATTCCGTTCTTGGCAACAGTGTTGAATACATTGTACAATAATTTTTGTGTGTCAGAAATTCGTACAATATTCGAACTTTCGTTCTTCCGGAAGTACTTACATGATCTGGAAACAACTGAGTGGAATTTGAAAAGATCATGGTACAGTAGGACGGAGTTATATCTTTTAAAAGCGACGCCTCTTCTTGGATATACAATCAATAATCAGACGGCACAAATTGTGTGGAAAATCACCATTAAGCTTCTCGACGTTATCTGCGGATGCTACGGACCACGTGAGAAAGCTTTTTCAAATCGCGTTGTCGAGCGAGAAAGTGAACTTAGAAATTATCACTAATGACTTGACAAAAATAAATCTAGCATCCATGATGGATCAGATTCAAATAGGTTTGCAATCCGACACAGCGTTGCTTTATGAGAGATACATCACACTAAACGGCGACTGAGACCAGACATGCCGAAGGTCTGGCTTTTCCTGTCGCTGATTCACATATACACAAAATGCAAAAATGATCAGTTACTTACCGGAAGATAAAAAGTGTATCTTAATGCTGAGTCTAGCACTGATTTTGCCCGACCTAATGGATAGGCTATTGTCTACTTTAAGATTCAGTAATATTGGTGTACCTTTGCGATACCGTCTATTTGGACAATGATGTGCCCGTGCTGCTACTGAATATTTTCTCGAATCTACTGAAGACATACTACGGGCGATTGAATTTCCGAACCGAGTTGCCAGGGCTGAGTCCTTTTATCGATTTGTTTACGGCACTGTGCGAACATTTCTGCTCGAGCTCGCACGGCGACGATGGCTTCGCCATGATGTTGCTAATACCGATGACACAAAGACATGATCCACATTATCGGAAATTGTTGTGGTCGGAACACGCGCGTTGCGACTTGAAACTTCAGATAGAGAAGTTTGTGTTTCCGATGAAAAAATATCTCTATCTGGAGGAGGAGGAGGACACATCGCTCATAGAAAGCTACAACACTCTAGTCCGCGAAATAATCAGGCAAACTTGGTGTCCTGTTCCTTATGCGATTGCGATACATCATTCGGCGATGTATCTAAAGCATTCGATAGATAGATTGGCGCTGCGAATGCGCGCACAAGTGGAGAAACTGCGGGATAGAGACATTGCGAATACATTGCTGCATACGTACCTCCGCGATTAATGTAAAATGATGGGACTGAAGCGACATGATTTTATGTATATAAATATGGTTTGTATGTATGTATGGTATGTATGTATATGGGTATGTGTGCACATGTATAATCTCTTTCTACTA